TCCAGTAAATCAATTTTTTAAGGCCTGTTACAAACAAAAGCACAGATAGTAGTTAGGAGGTTTGGTAAAATGTGAAAGCAAATTCTCTATTAATTTTTATCCAAATTTCCCATATTTAATTACATTTGGAAGCTGCATATATAGTTTACAGGAGATGTGCCCGATGGAGGTCAAAGCAGATAATCACCCCTCATTACCCTCCTTTGTCCTGTCACCTTTGCCTTGGATCCCTGCCAGCCCTCTATTCTGAATAGAGTCCAGAGTGTCTCAACTTTTAATGTTAATCACCTGGAAAGCTTGTTAAATCATGATTCCTAGACACCACCCCCTAAACATTATAATTCAGCAGGTCTGGAATAGGGCTAATAATTTGCATTTCTAACAAACTTCCAGTTGATGCTGATGCTGCCATTTTGGGGCTACACTTTTGTAGCGCTGGACAACTATACCAACTGGCCTGTAACTAAGGGAAAGTTGATAATAAGGCTGTTGACTCTATTGGATCTGTGGGATGGGGAGGGAGGGGGAAGAAGAGTGTTAATGGAAGTCACTACCTTTAATGAGGTCTCCATAACAAAACTACCTGTTTCCTTTCACAGAAGCAAATCCTGAGAAATTCAACAGTCGTTTTCGAAATAAAATGTTCTATGCAGGAGTAAGTATATGTTCTATTTTATAATTATTATGTATTATTTAATACTAATTAAATACTAATTACTCATTGGTAATAAGGATACTAACTATATGAAAAATCATTATCCATCTCAGATGTTTCTAAATATTTCTGTGTATGATTACAGTTTAACGTCTTGGTTTACAATTAAGATGTATTTAAGTTGGTAGAAAGGGAGCTGGTGTTCATCATCTTTGAACTTTAAAGCTTTAAGGCTTCCTGTCGTACGGAGGGGATGATATTCAAGGAGCGATAAGAGAAACATCGAAGGCAATCTAGAGAATGGGGGAGTTAGGCAGACTGAAAGATGTATAGAAAGTCTTGGGTAAGAATGTGGTTTGTACAGGAGTACATACGCATCAGTGTTTGGAGGAGAAATTGGCAGAGGATGGGCAGTTTCTTGTGGAAGCACATATGTGAGTAAAGGAGGTCTTTTTTTCCTTCTCCTCAGGGACATCCCTGGAGATGAATGGCTAGAAAGCAGGGGGAGGTATGTGGAAAGGCCTCCAAATTACTGATTTAAAAAAAGTGTTGTTTAAATTTAGACCACTGGATAGAGAGAACTGAAATAAAAGGGGAGAGGTGAAGCAAGACATTCTTAGTGGCAAGTTAAAGATGATATCAGCACCCCATGGTCAAGCAGGAGGTCAGGAAAGGTCATCAGAATAAATCTCTCAACTGACCCTTGGAATTACCTACTTTTTAACTTTTCTACTGTGTTCTCAAATTTTATTATAGGTTATAGTTTGAAAACAAAGAGAGTTTTCAACTTGACAGCCACTGCATTTTGCTTTGCAGTTAGCAAGAAAAGAACTTCTTTATATTTTGAATAGTTTAGAAGCATTAGGAACTATTTATAATATGGAAGCAAGGATTTGGCATAACCATGTGATTAAGTTTGGTTTTTCTCCCTTTATTTCCTTGTGGTATAGGCGGCTTTTTCTGATTTCCTACAGAGAAGTTCTAGAGATCTATCCAAACATGTTAAAGTTGTTGTAAGTATTGAACGTGTTGACTCAGTTCATTTGAATATAAATATGTATGCTGCAAAAACCATACACCAAATACCAGGTTATGTACTTAGATTAATCAATGGGTTGCATTAATTCCAGAGATCATTTAATGTAGTTCATTCAGCCAACATTTCTGAGAATATAGACCTGTATTAGCAACTGTCTTAGTTGCTGGGGATGGACAGACAGCTAGTTTCATTCCTGAAGAAACTCACAGTGGTATCGCAGAGACAGGCACGTAAGTCATTGCATAACACTGTAGTTAATATTGTTGACTATGTACACTGTATGGTGGTGGCACAGAGGGAAATGGAAACTGACTGTGGTGGGTTCAGGGAAACTTTCATCAAAGAAGTGATGAGCTGGGTCTTGACGTAGAAATAGGTGCTCACCCAACAAATATCTTTATTTCAGGGCTACTTGAGGACTCTCCATTTTAGAAAAATGCATTCATTTTATTTTTTTGTGATGATTCACTCTGTAGGCTGGCCAGGTTTCTTCACCACTGAATGGTTTGTTTGTTTTTGGTGCTATTTCTTCCGGGGTTTCTATCCCAGGTTTTTAGACACACACTGAGAGAGGGAATATTACCTTTCCTCTAGGAGCTGTACTTTAAAATAGCATATCTTTAGGGGCACCTGGGTGGCTTAGTTGGTTAAGCACCTGACTTTTGGCTTCTGCTCAGGTCATGATCTCAGGGTCATGAGACTGAGCTCCAAGTCAGGCTCTGCGCCCAGGGCAGAATCTGCTTGGGATTCTCTCCCTTTCCCCTTTCCCTCCCCCTCTGCCCCTCTGCATGCATGCCTGCTCTCTCTCTCTCTCTCTCTTGCTCATAAATAAATAAATAAATATTTTAAAAAATAAAATAACGTATCATTAGTTATTAAGAAAGACATAAAATGCTTCCTTATAGCAACCAAGTTAAAAGGAGCAAACATGACTATTGTACTTAATAGTCTAAGGAGAAAGAAAAAGAAAAAATATGATGTAGAAGGAATGTGATATAGAAATGCTTGAATTTATCATAGCATAGATAAAGAATAGAATATGTGATGAGAGGGGACAGAACAACAGAAATACATCAGAAGACAGAAATACAGAAAAATATACATGGGTGTATAGAGGAGCAGGAGAGGGATGCAGATTAAAATTTGTAGTCACCATGCAGCAAAAGCAGTTCTAAGAGGGAAGTTTATAGCAATTGAGGCCAAGCCTATCTCAAAAAAAAAAAAAAAAAACAAGAAAAATCTCAAGCAACCTAACCTTACACCTAAAGGAGCTATAAAAAGAACAACAAAGCCCAAAGCCAGTAGAAGGAAGGATATAGTAAAGATTAGAGCAGAAATAAATAGAGACTAAAAAAGCAATAGAAAAGATCAATAAAACCAGGAGCTGATTCTTTGAAAAGATAAACAAAATTGGTAAACCCTTAGCCAGACTCATCAAGACAAAAAGAGAGAAGACTCAAATAAATAAAGTCAGAAATGAAGGCGGAGGAATAATAACCAACACCACAGAAATACAAAGGATTTTAAGAGAATATTATAAAAATTTATATACCAACAAATTGGACAACCTAGAAGAAATGGATCCTTTCCTAGAAACGTATAAGCTTCTAAAACTGAATTAGGAAGAGAGAAAATTTGAACAGACCAATTATTGGCAATGAAATTAAATCAGTAATCAAACTCCTGACAAACATAAGTTCAGGACCAGATGGCTTCAGGGTGTGAATTCTACCAAACTTTTAAAGGAGAGTTAATACTATTCTCAGAATATTCCAAAAAATAGTTGAGGAAGGAAAGCTTCTAAATTCATTCTATGAGACCAGCATTACTCTGTTACCAAAACCAGACAAAGACACCACACAAAAAGAAAACTACAGGCTCCTATCTCTGATGAACATAGATGCAAAAATCTTCAACAAAATATTAGCAAACTGAATTCAATAATACATTTAAAAAAATATTCACAGTCATGTGGGATTTATTCCAGGGATGCTAGAGTGGTTCAGTATTCATGAATCAATCAACATGATACATCACATTAACAAGAGAAAGGGAAAAAAATCACATCATCTCACAGATGCAGGAAAAGCATTTGATAAAGTACAACATTCTTTTATGATAAAAACTCTCAACAAGTAGGCTTAGAGGGAACACACCTCAACATAATGAAGGCCATATACAAAAAAACCCACAGCTAACATCATACTCAATGGTGAAAACAGAACTTTTCCTCTAAGATCAGGAACAAAAAAAGGATATCCATTCTCATCACTTTTATTCAACATAGTACAGGAAGTCCTAGCTGCAGCAATCAGACAAAAAAAAAGAAGGCATTTATATTGGTGAAGAAGTAGTAAAACTGTCACTATTTGCAGATAACATCATAATGAATATATAGAAAACCCTAAAGATTCCACACACAAAAAAACTAGTAGAACTGATTAATGAATTCAGTAAAGTCACAGGAAACAAAATTAATATACAGAAATCAGTTGCATTTCTATACATTAATGAAGTAGCAGAAAGAAATTAGGAAAACAATTCCATTTACAACTGCACCTAAGGAAAGGAAAGACCTGCACTCTGAAAACTGTAAAACACTGATGAAAGAAATTGAAGATGGCACAAATGGAAAGATATTCCATGCTCATGGACTGGAAGAGCCAATATTGTTAAAATGTCCATACTACTCAAAGCAATCTTTGGATTTAATGCAATTCCTATCAAAATGCCAACAGCATTTTTCACAGAACTAGAACAAATAATACTAAAATTTGTGTGGAACCACAAAAAAATCTCCAAATAGCCTTTCTTGAGAAAGAAGAACAAAGCTAGGGGCTCCTGGGTGGCTCATTCAGTTAAGCATTTGCCTTCGGCTCAGGTCATGATCCCAGGGGTCCTGGAATTAAGCCCACATCTGACTCCCTGCTCAGTGGGGAGTCTGCTTCTCCCTCTCCCTTTACCCCTCCTCCCCAGCTCATGTTCTCTCTTGCCACCTCTGTCTCTCTCTCTCTCTCAAATAAATAAAATCTTTTTTTTTTTTTGAAAAAAAAGAAAAAGCTGGGGTTATCACAAGTCCATATTTTAAGATATGCTACCAAGCTGCAGTATTCAAAACAATATCAAACTGACACAAAAATAGACACATACACAATGGAATATTATGCAGCCATCAAAAGGAATGAGATCTTGCCATTTGCAATGACGTGGATGGAACTGGAGGGTGTTATGCTGAGTGAAATAAGTCAGTCAGAGAAAGACATGTATCATATGACCTCACTGATATGAGGAATTCTTAATCTCAGGAAACTGAGGGTTGCTGGAGTGGTGGGGGGGTGGGAGGGATGGGGTGCCTGGGTGACAGACATTGGGGAGGGTATGTGCTATGGCAAATGCTGTGAATTGTGGAAGACTGTTGAATCACAGTTCTGTACCTCTGAAACAAATAATGCAATATATGTTAAAAAAAAAAAAAAAAGAAGAAGATGGCAGGGGAGGATTGAAGGGGGGAAATCGGAGGGGGAGACCAACCATGAGAGACGATGGACTCTGAAAAAGAAACTGAGGGTTCTAGAGGGGAGGGGTGTGGAGGGATGGGTTAGCCTGGTGATGGGTATTAAAGAGGGCACGTTCTGCGTGGAGCACTGGGTGTTACGCACAAACAATGGAACACTACATCTAAAACTAATGATGTATGGTGATTAACATAACAATAAAAAAAATAGACACATAGATCCATGGAACAGAATAGAGAGCCCAGAAATAAACCCATGCTTATATGTCAATCTATGACAAAGGAGGCAAGAATATACAATGGGGACAGGACCATCTCTTCAACAATGGTGCTGGAGAAACTGGACAGCTACATGCAAAAGAGACTAGACCACTTTCTTACACCACACACAAAAATAAACTCAAAACGGATTAAAGACCTAAATATGAGACCTGAAACTGTAAAACTCCTGAAAGAAAACATAGGCAGTAATCTCTTTGAGATTGGCCATAGAAACATTTTTCTAGATATGTCTCTTGAGGCAAAGGAAACAAAAGCAAAAATAAACTACTGGGACTACACCAAAATAAGCTTTTACACAGTGAAAGAAACCATCAACAAAACAAAGAGGAAACCTACTGAATGGGAGAAGATACTTGCAAATGATATATCTGATAAGGGGTTAATATCCAAAATATGTAAGGAATTTACCCAACACACACAAATCCAATTGAAAAATGAGCAGAGGACTTGAATAGACATTTTTCCAAAGAAGATGTACAGATGGCCAACAGCCACATGAAAAGATGCTTAACATCACTAATCATCCGAGAAATGCAAATCAGAGCTACAATGAGGTATTACCTCACACTTGTCAAAATGACTGGAATCAAAAAGACAAGAAATAAGTATTGGTGAGGATTTGGAGGAAAAAAGGAATTCTTGTACATTATTAGTGGAAATCCAAATTGATACAGCCACTGTGGAAAACAGTATGGAGGTTTCTCAAAAATTTAAAAATAAAAATACTATATGATCCAGTAATTCTTCTACTGGATATTTACCCAAAGAAAATGAAAACTCTAATTTGAAAAGATATATGCACCACTATGTTTATTGTAGCATTATTTACAATAGCCAAGATATGAAAGCAACCCAAGTGTGCATTGATAAATGAATGGATAAAGAAGATGGGGTATACATATATGTATGTATGTATACATGTGTGTACATACATACACACACACACACACACACACAATGGAATATTACTCAGCCATTAAAAAGAATGAAATCTTGCCATTTGCAACAACATGGATGGACCTAGAAGGTACAAAGCTAACTGAAATAAGTCTGTCAGAAACCATATGATTTCAGTCCTATGTAGAATTTAAGAAAACAAATGAACAATGAAGAAAAACAACAAACAAAAGACTCTTAAATACAGAGACTGAACAAGAGGTTACCAGAGGGGAAGTAGGTGGGGAGATGGGTGAAATAAAGGGGCCTAAGAGGTACAAACTTCCAGTTAAAAAATAAATAAGTCATGGACATGAAAAGGACAACATAGGGAATATAGTCAGTAAGATTATAAAAATGGTATTTGGAGATGGATGATGACTTCACTGGGTGAGAACTGAGTAATGTACAGAGATATTGAATCATCATATTGTACATCTGAAACTAATAACACTGTACGTGAAGTATACTTCAGTAAGAAAAATGTGTAATCACCAATCAGTAAAGCACATGTGAGACATCAATCTCCTGACTCAGCTGAAAGAAGAGACAGAGGCCATTACCACTGGTGTCAATAACCCTTGGCATTGCTTTCAGGTAGTTCAGGTCTCATACAATTGCAATGAAAACAAGCATCTTTTAGTAATAGAGACTCTTGAAAGTACAAGTACTGCTTTCTTAAAGCTGGAGGCAGGAAAGACAGTGGTCCCCTGAACTATGAAGGTCTTTTATTGATAAAATTATGCCTATTAAAGTAACAGCAACCTCCCTGTTTCTTCAGCTGCTGGCAACCCAACCAAAAATAAACTTGCCCTACTTTTCCAGTATTTTTCACATTGAGAGGAATGGTGGTGGCATCTGCTCAGGGGTCAACGCCATATTGAATGGCATATACTGTTCAAATCAGCTGCAGTGAAATTAACCTCTGTATACTCCCTAACAACTTATCTCCTGCATCTAGCAGTCCCCCTGATGATGAATATCTCACTCATGGGTGGCTATATAGCAGGGATTAAAAGAAGGTTGATACCCACGAGAGACTATGGACTCTGAGAAACAAACTGAGGGTTCTAGAGGGGAGGGAGGTGGGGGGATGGGTTAGCCTGGTGATGGGTATTAAAGAGGGCAC